CGTAAAGCCTCCAGAGTCATTAATAATTATTTGCGGAATGGAGAGTTTATAGTTTTTGACACTACTGTACCAATTTCTGATCCTATGTCCATTAGAATCGGTTGGATGAATCCTCTAAACCTGGAAAAAGAGATCAAATCATTAATTGCGTAATAAAGATATGTGTCTCAACACTAGCTTCGCTATTAAATTATATCCTACAAATCGTTGTAATATACATAATTAGCACTTGAATATCGGAAGTATAATTTATTTTTTTTTTTTTTCCTGATATTTCTGTCTATATAATATATCATACATCCTATCTGCCACTCATATTTTTGAGATGATCGAATCCTGTCCTGTGTTGTAGTGACGCTTTCATATCTTACTTTGCAAAGATGTATGTATCCAGCCGTGATTTTATATTAAAAATATATCTTATCTATTAAAAGTAACAATCTATTATAATGAAAAAATTATCTTTAAGCGATGCTCGAATAATTGCTGAAAAATGTAATGGAAAATGTCTTTCCACTCAGTATATCAATGCCAAAAGTCCCTTAGAATGGAAATGCAAGGAAGGTCATATTTGGTTAGCGCCTCTTAACCGTATAAAAGATCATGGTAAATGGTGCCCATATTGTGCAGGCAATATTCGTCTTACTTTAAAAGAAGCTCGTATAATTGCTAAAGTTTGTGGTGGGCAATGCCTTTCCAACCAATATATTAATAATATAACTCCATTATTATGGCAGTGCAATAAATCGCATATATGGTATGCATCCCTTAATAGTATAAAAAATCATAATACTTGGTGTCCACAATGTGCAAAACGTGGATTTAAATTAAACCTTGATGAGTTGCAAAAAACTGCTCGTTTGCGTGGTGGCGAATGCCTTTCTAAAAAATATACCAAATCTAAAGATTTATATTATTGGAAATGCGCTGAAGGACATACTTGGTGTACATCATTTTATGTTATTCGAAATCATAATACTTGGTGTCCATATTGTAAAAATAAGTATGAAAATTTATGTCGAGAAATAGTATCAAATTATCTTGGTTCTCCATCAGCAAATCGTAGACCAGAATTTTTGAAAACTCCTGAAAATCCAAATGGATTGGAACTTGACATTCCCTACTATAATTACGGTTTTGCTATTGAAGTCCAGGGATCTCAACATGAAAGATATCATAAATTCTTTCATAAAGGAGATCCTAATAATTTTGTCCGGCAACAAAAGCAGGATCAACTCAAGAATGAATTGTGCGAAGAAAACTGGATTGTTTTAAGGTATGTCTGGTATTATGAAGACCCATATATAGTTATTCCAGAGCATCTTCGAGAATTGGGTCTCATTTAGTAAACTCATAACTTTAAACGTTCATAATGATGATACAATAAAATAAGCATATTATTATTTTTTCCAATACACAAGTGAACATAAAGGCAAACAAAATGGGAAAATAAGGAAAAAGGTTTGAGGCAAATAATTATAAATTTAAATCAACAAATTTTAGCGCTTCAGAATAATCCACCAAATATGGCGACACCTATAGGTGACTTGACTGGTATTGCACCTTTACTTGCAAATGTTGAATTTTATAATGGACAGGTTCAACCTGGCGAATGGTATAATGGAATTAATGCCATATTATCATATCCCGCAGTAACACAAATTGATGATGCTCATAAAGTTGCGATCTTGAAGAGCAAACTGGGTAAAAAATATGCAGATGTACCCAATCAACATGCTGGAAATAATATTGATACTCCAGCTCGCTTTATTGCATGGTTGCGTCATAAATATCAGACAGAAACGGTCGGAACACAACAAGTTGCTCTCCAGAGATTAGCATACGAAAAATTTTTACCTAATGATACGCCAGAAACCTATGAGACTAGGATACGCCCCCTAATATTGGGTGTTGCTAACAATGATGCTAATGCCTTGTCATTCCTTATGAACCATTTGCCTGATGAGATTTTCAACCGAATGGAAAGTGCAAATCTTACAGAGATCGATGCATTTTTCACCAATCTTAAGAATTTATGGCTCAAACGTAGACCTTCTTCATTTAATTACGGAAATGCAAATAGTATGAATGGAATGGCATTTCAACCACCTCAGCAAATAGTTCAACCACCTGCATTCCAACCGCCTCAGCAAATCGTCCAACAGCCAGTATTCCAACCACCTCAGCAAATAGTTCAACCACCTCCGCAATTCGTTCAAAAAACGCCTCCAGTATATGATTATCAACGAAATTTTCGTCCTAAAACTGAGAAGGCCAAGTATTATGAAGAGTTAAGGAATTATGCAGATATGGGTCTCGAAGCCGAAGATAACAGAGTACTAGAACCGATGGAAATCGATTACGCAATTATCAATAAAGTCAATCAGATTAAAGAATTATCTAATATACCAGAGCCAACAATAAATGTAACCAATTCGTCTACTGCTAGACCAATCCAACGTAAATGCGAAATATGCAAAAAGCCGGGACATACTTATCGCAGTTGTCCCATAATTAAGAATATGGTTGCTAATTCTAAGAAAAAAACTGGTCGTGTGAATTTTGCCGATGGATTTCAACAAAGCCACTCTGACACAGAAGAACTCCCCGATGAATTTATCTCTGACAAAGAAGAGGATAATATATCCGATGAAGATTCCAATGTTGATATAGACAGAATAAAAAAAAAATAGAGCGACCTAAGCAAGTACTCAATACGACATCCTCGCAAAAGCAAATTCCGAAACGATCCAAAGAAAAGAAAGATATCTATTCTACAGAGGATAAGAGGAATCCAACCCCAACTTTACTAGAGAGACGGATGCGTGAAATCATTCAAAGTGAGCTTGAAAATTCTGCTTTATTTGAGGAGACTATACGTAAAATCTTACGAAATTTCCAGAAATCTAATCCCATAAATGAAGTCCATCCTCAAAGCAATGCTGAAGATGAAGAAGTTATCGAAGATATGGAAATTAACTTTGTTCGGGATAAAGATGCAATAGATGTTCCAACTGTTCGGGGTAAAATCAAACGTTTAGTTCTCTCAGCCATAATAGTTGACCCTGGTTCTAATACTTTGCTTATGTCTAGAGACATTGCTGACCGCTTGGGTTTAAAAATTGATAAAAGCGTGACGTTTTATTTCAAGGGGGCGTCCACTGTCCTAACAAAATCAATTGGAATGGTTTATAATGTGCCATTAACCTTAGTTCGAGGTTGTGTATTTTATTTAGATTTTGTAGTTATTGAATACGATAAGCCTATGTTGATATTAAGTAACGCTTTCCTTGAAAAACATGGATGTGTTATGGATTGGCCTAAATCCGAAATGAAGCTTCATTGTAATGGGAAAGATTTTTACATTCCAGTTACGATGCACAAGGTAGAAAATAAGATTGAGGTACATCACGTTAATGTTATTTCTGAAGAGACAGATACAGAGTTAAAAAAAAACACGTGATTAATCCTAATATCATTCCAGGTACTAAAATATTAGAGTTCCATTCTAAGGTTTGGGATACACGGCAAAACCTCAAGGATGAATTTCTTAGAGTTCTAGATTATGCTGAATATCTTAAAAGGAATTGATTCGAATTCAGGATTCAGCTTGAAGCTCTTTAGCATATTTTCGCAATGGGAGGCATTCACTTTACCGACAATCACTTTACCGACGTATTATTTTACCGACAATCATTTTACCGAAAGTTCATTTTACCGACAGTTCATTTTACCGACAGTTCATTTTACCGACAGTTCATTTTACCGACAATTACTTTACCGACAATTACTTTACCGACAATTACTTTACCGACAATTACTTTACCGACAGTTCATTTTACCGACAGTTCATTTTACCGACAGTTCATTTTACCGACAGTTCACTTTACCGACAGTTCATTTTACCGACAGTTCATTTTACCGACAGTTCATTTTACCGACAGTTCATTTTACCGACAGTTCATTTTACCGAAAATTATACTAATAATAAATAAATTAAATGGTAGTAGTAGATACTAAACAGTGCAATGCGTATGTTACGCTAAATCATTAAATCGAAATTAGTTTTTGCTATTATTAAAATCGTACGATTAAATGGGTCTGACAATCAAGTAAGGTTTCTAGTCCAAACTGTTTCTCAAAGCTCAAACTATTTTGTCGATTTGGGTTTTTCAACGTTTTTTATATAGAGGTAGGTATATTAGACCAGGAACCTTAGAATTAAGCCATCAGATGAATTTTGTGCTTTAATTACAAAAGTATACTTTAATAATATTATGTTAAATAAATAAATAAATACTTTTTAATTTTTGGCTAACATCATAACTATGCATGCTCTATAAACTTGTTTTTAAAAAAAAAATTTTTTTTTTGTTTATTTTTTTAATTTTGGTTAGTATTATTGTTACCGATCACCTGCTAACTCGAAAGAGTATAAAATACATCTGATTTATTAATTAGAAATGTGTTTGTTTATTGTATAAAGGAATTTGGCGGAAACCTACTTTGTACAAAGATGGGTTTTAAAAATTTTAAAATCAACAATTAATTATTGTTACCAATCACTTGCTAACTCGAAAGAGTATACAATATATCTGATTTATTAAACAATTAGAAATGTGTTTCTTTTTTCCAAAATTTTTGCGCATCTTTTAAATTTGTAATACAAAGGAATTTGGCGAAGACCTACTTTGTACAAAGATGGGTTTTAAAAAATTTTAAAATCAACAATTAATTATTGTTACCGATCACTTGCTAACTCGAAAGAGTATACAATATATCTGATTTATCAAACAATTAGAAATGTGTTTACTTTTTTCCAAAATTTTTGCGCATCTTTAATTGTAATATAAAGGAATTTGGCGAAAACCTACTTTGTACAAAGATGGGTTTAAAAAATTTTAAAATCAACAATTAATTATTGTTACCAATCACTTGCTAATTCGAAAGAGTATACAATATATCTGATTTATCAATGTGTTTACTTTTTTCCAAAATTTTTGCGCATCTTTAATTGTAATATAAAGGAATTTGGCGAAAACCTACTTTGT